AGCATGGGCCCTCCGGGCCCCTTCGAGTCGCATGCGCGACACCCCAACATGGGCCCTCCGGGCCCCTTCCAGTCGCATCCGCGACACCCCAGCATGGGCCCTCCGGGCCCTTTCCAGTCGCATGCGCGACACCCCAACATGGGCCCTCCGGGCCCCTTCCAGTCGCATGCGCGACACCCCAGCATGGGCCCTCCGGGCCCTTTCCAGTCGCATCCACGACACCCCAGCATGGGCCCTCCGGGCCCCTTCCAGTCGCATCCGCGACACCCCAGCATGGGCCCTCCGGGCCCCTTCCAGTCGCATTCGCGACACCCCAGCATGGGTCATCCGGGCCCCTTCCAGTCGCATCCGCAACCCCAGCATAGGTCCTCCGGGCCCCTTCCAGTCGCATCCACGACACCCCAGCATGGGCCCTCCGGGCCCTTGTCAGTCGCATCCGCGACCCCCCAACATGGGCCCTCCGGGCCCCTTCCAGTCGCATCCGCGACACCCCAGCATGGGCCCTCCGGGCCCTTTCCAGTCGCATGCGCGACACCCCAACATGGGCCCTCCGGGCCCCTTCCAGTCGCATCCGCGACACCCCAGCATGGGCCCTCCGGGCCCTTTCCAGTCGCATCCGCGACACCCCAGCATGGGCCCTCCGGGCCCCTTCCAGTCGCATGCGCGACACCCCAACATGGGCCCTCCGGGCCCCTTCCAGTCGCATCCACGACACCCCAGCATGGGCCCTCCAGGCCTCTTCCAATCGCATCCGCAAGACCTTACTAACGTCAGCTCCACGACACCCCAGAGCTGGGCCCTCAGGCTTCACTTTGGTCGCATCCGCGACACCTTATCCGGGTCCTCCTGTAACAGCGTGGTCATATCCGCAGCACCCAAACCTGAGTGCCCGGCCTCACCATGAATCGCCTGCGGTCAGCATGAGGCATCCCGCCTGATTCCTGTTACTTGCACGATATTCTCTCCTTCATCATATTGCCCTATGGGAATCATAACCGTGACACTCCAGCTTGAGTCATCCAGGCTTGTATAGATGACATCTGCTGCATCCCGGCTGTATTCCGGTCACCTTCGAAAAGAGCTCTTGAATCCCTCCCCAGATCAACCCCGCCCAGTTAAGGGCGGGTAGGCAACGGTGAGGGAGGGCGAAAAGGTCCGCTCCACAGGATGGTGGAAATTTGCACTGTCCACAAAAGCAGCAGCGAATTTGACGTCTGTAAAGGATGAAGTAGACTAGGTTGATCCCCCAGGAGATCGTAGGCGACGTCGCGTCAAGAAGTTTGCGCGGTAGCAATTCGTGTTTCGGAAGTTGGTGTGCCGCGCGTCAGAAAGGACGCTGATTAAACTATAATATAAAGAGAAGGTGATACAGTAAATTAAGGTAAGAAGTGGGAGAAAGGGAGAAGCGGCGCGCCTACACACCGACTGTCTCCGAACGATGGCAAGATTGGGCCTGATCCTGGCCAAATAAACGCCTCAAATCTCTATCAAGCACCTTAAGTCTCTGTAATAAAAACATACCTTCCACACTTCCTCTCCCACCAAAAGCAACCTTCGTCTCACTTTGGACCCGTACAACCTTAGCAACCACCTTCACCGTATCCAGTACTTCTGAAAATGCCACAGCGAAAGCAACGATAGTGTTTGGGTGTGTAGGGAATGGAAGGCTAAGATGCGTATAGGAGGGGCCCAATGAAGTTTAAGGATTCTCCAGTTGTCGCTTGCAGGGCTGGCTGATTTACTGACCCATGGGTCAGTTGTGATGTCCTTGAGCACTTTTGTCGCAGGACCTTAAGGACCTACGGATATTACCACAAACCTGGCATGATAATTGCAACGCCTCTTAGTAGCTCATAGATTCCTGGAAAGGCGGTTCTGAATTCTAACAGCAGTGCAGGATAATCGTTGCACGTCATTGTACAAGGGCTTGCTGTGTGCAACCTCCGCTTGAATCAGGCTTACTTTCAAACGTCTGCCCACGCAAACTCGAACATGACGCCTAACGCGCCTCAAGCTCTTTCGGCTGGCACTACGAGCTCTGGAAAGCCCGAGTCGCAAATTGTCGTGGAAGAACCTTCCCAGAAATTCACCCCAAAGGCAGACGCCAGAAAGCACAGATTCGAAACTCAGCCCCATGGATACCTAGCTGACAAGATTGCAACATTCCTGCGGGCGCTTTGGCAGCTCGGACGTAATACTTTCCAAAAGGAGAGGACCTCGGAAGCCGCAGACGACACGGTTGGTAAGCGACTGCTTCAGTTGTAGGACACCGCCCAGAATTTCAGAATCATGCTTGCAGCATCCATCCATGCAACGACAAGCTTTGCTGTTCCCAAAATTTTAATATCCACTCTGT